GCGCGCTTCCCGCCGCGCCCGGCCTCGCGCCTGCTCCGCCGGCGCTCCCCCCACCCACTCACCCACCCATCTCCCCCCGCCCCGCCCCGCCCCGCCCCGCCTGCGGGGGGGGCGGAGCGGCGCGCGCGGCCCCGCCCCGCTCCCTTTGTGCTCGGGCAGCCAGCGGCAGCCGCAGTCGCCGCCGCTTCCCGCCTGGGCAGCGCGCCCCTGCCAGCCCGCCTGCTTCTCCTCTCTTCTCTTCTTCCCCTCCTCCCCCACCCCTTCCTCTTCCTCCTCCTTCCTGCTCCCCCTCCCCTCACCCTACCCCTCTCCCCCGCTGCTACCGCCGCCGCCACCCCTCTCGCCGCTCTTCCCCCCCACCCCTCACCCCCCACCACCCCCCCCCGCCCTGCCCGCCCGCCATGTCGCTGGGAGCCGGCCCCGAGGCGGGTTTCTCCAGCGAGGAGCTGCTGACCCTCCGCTTCCCCCTGCACCGCGCCTGCCGCGACGGGGACCTGCCCGCCTTGTGCGCGCTGCTCCAGAGCTCGCCCCGCTCCGACTTGGCGGCCGAGGATTCCTTCTACGGCTGGACGCCCATCCACTGGGCCGCGCACTTCGGCAAGGTGGGGCCCGGCCCGGCCCGGCCCGGCCCGGCCGGCGGAACGAGGGCGGCGGGAGCGGGCGGGGTGACGGGGGAGGAGGAGGAGGGCGGCGAGTCCCGCTCGCGCGCAACGCGGGCGCCATCTTTGCCCCCTCGCGCGCGCCCTGCCGGGAGGCGCCCGCCGCGCCGCCGTCCTGTCCGTGTGTCCGTCGTCGCTGCCCCCCCCCCCCCCCCCCCCCCCCCTCAATCTGCCGCTCGTCGCTCCTCGGGGGACCGGGCGGGCAGCGCCGCGGCGCTTGGCTGCTTTCCCGTCCCCGCGGTCGGCGGGGGGGGCCAGGCCGCGGGGCTGATGGCACCTGCCGTCCCCGAATCAGGCATCCCCTCCCCGGCGGCGGGAGCGGCGCCTTCTCTTTATTTTTTTTCCCATTTTATTTTATTTTTTTTTTTCCCGCTGCCTTCTCGTCAAGCTAGCTGGCAGAGGCGGCCCCCCGTCTCGCAGCCGGGCTTTCAAAAGGCGCCCAGGGCGGCGGGAGGCAGTGCGGAGGAGGAGGGGCGGCTCCCGCGCTCACCCCCCCGCCCGGCCGAGCCCCCCCCGAGGCGGCGACCCCTTCCACGCGTCCCTGCTAACCCCCCTCCACGCTCCCGCCGCGCTGCATGCTTTGTCTGCAGAGCCTGGGCACGGTCCTTGCCGTCCTCGGGCTCCACACCTGGAGACTGCTTTGTTGTGGTGCCTGTGTTATGACTACCGACTCGTTAGGAGTTTGGGGAGAAGATGCTGGTGCTTGTAAAGCACTCCTCTGTTGCCCTCAGTATGAGAAATAAACTGTGGTTTATACGCGTGCAGGGCATGGAATTAACTGCATTTGCATCGTTGCAGTGCAGAAAAGATAAAAAGAAGTATCGGCACTAACTTCCACTGTTAAAAGATGAGTGGTGTTGGAATTCTTTGATTTTTATGTAGGCTTTTCCTGTTTCTAATGCAGTGACAGTTCCAGCCTGTGCAGAATTCCAACCTAGAGGGTTGGGATTTGGTTTTTTTGCCTCATTGACTTGTTTGGGTTTGGATTTTGAGAGTCTCTGTGCTTGTTCTCCCTCCCATTTCCAACCTATTTCTATTTGATTATTGATTGTGTGCTGGAGGAGGAAAATGAATGTACTTAAGCAGTTGTCATCGTTTATAAAAGTACATTAAGAGATTGCTTCTATACGTTAAGTGATCTTATCTCCAGCACTTGTTGGAGAAACATTTTAGAAACATAACTTAGTCAGTCCTTCAGTCTTAAATAAAACCCCCCTAGACCCACAAACAAACCTAAAGCAGCCTTTTATCTGTTGAGAATGAAGTCTTCTACACTTCTGCACTCAAAAAAAAAAAAGTGGAGTACCTTAAATTTTATCCTACAGTATGCTCTGAGAAAATGTGAAGATACTAATCTGGTGTTACAGTCTTCTGTTTCCTTTCTCTAATAAGAATTTCTCTTTGGTACATGCTTGGGGAAGTCTTGCTTTTGTCTTAGAAGCGTGTGTTGTTTTGTTTTCTCCTTTAAGCATTTTCAGCTTTCTACTAACCATCCTAGGTTATGTGAGCTTTTGTATATGTTCTGGTTTCTGTTGAAGAGACTCTTGCAGAAACAGGTAACAAAGGGAACAAGTCAATCTGCAAGATACTGTGTTTATACATGCCATGTTAATTCTTAGGTACCAACAAAATTTGATAGGTGTTTTTCTTGTCGTTGTTGCATATAAGGGGTGAAAATCTGCCCAATGAGACTTGCAAAGATGATGTAGGCTATAAATGGGATTTATTCAGCTTTACATATGTGTACTTTCCTAAAAGCCTTGTGACAAGGTTTAGGCAATTTCAATTTATGGAATTTACCTGTGTGTTTTAGTCTTGTTAGGTAGTGTTCCTTTCTCTGGGCCAGAGACTATAGAACACTTGAAAAAGTTGCAGTAATGCAATTAGATCCCAAACTTGACTGACTTTGTGTGGCATAGTTATACTTTTACCTTTCACAAGTTAAGAGATGGTTACCAGTAGTGAAACAATAGCTGCTCTTAGTGGACTTTCATATGAATGTCTTACAGCTTTATTTATTTATGTCTTTATTTACAAATTAAGATTCATCAAAACTTGAGATATAGAAAAACTCTCCATTTTAAAATACCAGACTTCTAAATCATTGTTTTTTTAAATGTTCATTAGTTACTTAGCAGTAGCTACTCTTCACTTTGTTTTTCTAGATTTTGTGGGATTTTTCACTCGTTTGTTTTACTTTTCCTTAAAGAAATTAAATAGTGACAGAACTTTGTAGCTGTCCTTCTGATATAGGGCCATTTAGCGACATGGTCCACCAGACATACATTGGTTCTGACTGAAGCTCTGTAGGAGGTGGAGATGACAAAACTCACTTCGTTCCTGTGTGGAAGAAGTCCTTGTGGAACAACTCATCGTAAGCAGTGAAATCTAAAACAGCTCATACGTGAATACACAGCATCAGTCTAGGGCTGGTGAACTTTAACTATATAGAGATGTTCCTTTCGCTTGACCTGTTACACAGTTTGAACATAGAAGAAAGCCCTCACTTTGTCAAAGGACAGTACAAAAGCATTTTAGAAGAAAGCTATATAAAACTACATTCTTGCACACTGTTGTGGATGTGCTGCAGTAAGGAAGTAGCAGCAATAATAACGCTCTGTTAGAAATGAGTAGGTGAAAGAGGAAAGATAGCTTTTGGGGGGAATACTGATATAATACTAGTACCAATAAAAATGAACTACCTGAAGACTAAAAATGAAAACATGGTATTTTTTAATATCTCACACTGAAACATACTTGTACAGCTTGCAGTTAATAAATAAATACCAGCAAAGTCAATTGAAAGCAACAGATACTCCAGAAACACTGGTTGGAGTATCTGGAGTTTTAATGTCATCATGGACCTCCCGTTAGAGATAGTAGCAAGTCCAAATTTACTTGGCTGTGTTCAGTATTTGTGGTGGAGGTTGCATTTTGAGGACATTCCCTGACTGCAGAGGAGTGCTCATATCCTGAGATGTAAATTAATTCCCATTAGAGTTGCCATATTCCAATTAGAGTTAATTATATAGTGCCCTAAATTACCCTGGCATTCTGTAGATTTCTGAGAAGGTGGGTCAGATTGTAAATCTGTTCACAGTCTAAAGATACCAGCGAGTTAGAAACTGAAGGGCTTGTTTGAAAAACAAAGTAGCTGTTAATTTACTTTGTCTTACACTAACTGTAATTTCATTTTTCTTTTTAACCACTTGCACATGGATTTTTATTTTCTCTGGCCACCTCTATTTGCTTGTGCTTGTCTCCTACTTTTATTTTTGCCATTTGACTGTTTACATGATAGGAGGCAAAATAGTAGTAAGTACGTTCTGTTTCTTTTGGAACAAAAGTAGTACAGATAAAAATGCCTGTGTCTTTTTGATATTTTGCCAGTGCTGTGGCCTATGTGGAAGCCTGTCTTTCTTCATTAAATGAGTTTAACCTCTGCTTTAGACATAACAATACAGTGGAAAACATCTAAAAGATTATTTAATGAAAGTGGACTTGTATGTCCTGATCTCAAGCATAAATAATCAATTGAGGTATTGTTTTTTATGTTGACTTTTCTTATCCACAGAAGTAATTTATCTCATTCTTCCATGATGTTGGAAGAAGCAGGTTTTTCTGACAGCCATGATGCAAAAGACCCAAGCTTTTAATGGGATGAAACATTGTCTCCATTGTTAAAACCCTGTAAGAAAGAATGAAAAAAAAAAAATGAAAAGCACACAAGCAAGAAAAAACAGCATTTAAACTTGAAGTTGTATAGATAATTATGATGTGTAGCCATCTTACAAAGCAGATTTAAACAAAGCAAGATGATGCTGGTGAACCAGTCCAGTGTTTTTCCCCTTTCAATTGATGGGCTATAATGCCAGTCTAATTATGGAAATTCTTTCATCCTGGTTTCTGTGCAGGAAATAGTATTCTTTCCTGAAGCTGTAGTGCTTGTCTGAAAGTGTATTCAAATGAATTCTATTAAAAGTCTATTGTTTTAAAAACTGGCTGAGCTTTTATTTTTGTTTGCAGTGATAGTAGAGGAACCTCTTGGTGTAGCTGGAGTTCTTTTCCATCACATACCTTATTAATAATTGCAGTGTTACCGTTTATTAATAACTATTAAAGGTGAACAGCAATATTAGGGGTGCTAGCATGTGCACACCAAGAAACATCTAAGATTAGCAAATACATTTTGAGTTTGGGTAGTGTAGCATTAGAATGATAAGTTTTCTTACACCAGTTTTTTGATGTAAATTTTTTTTGCAGTAAAAGCACTTGTTTGCTTTTGAAAAGGTACTTTGTTTTGGGTAATGTTGAGGTTTATGGAGCTAGATTCATCAATACTGCAGTATTTCAGTTATCCTCACCCTTGCATTTTTACTTCATATAATTAGTGAATTAATGGTACATCTATGTTTAGTGTCAAGTCCATTACAATCCAAAAAAAGCACTTCTGTATATCCTGAAGGATATGGTTCGTAAGTGTTTATTTGAACTACATGGGGGGAAGAAACAATTGAATTTCGCAATATATTTCCAAAACGAATATAAAATACTTCACTACAGTGGCTGGTACTTGTGTAGTATAATTCATCAAGATCAGGAATTTACAGGTTAAAAAAAAAAGACAAGTACAGCAGTAGAGAAGAACATGGGAATCGTGATGTTTATGCTTCTATCTGAATCAAGCTGCCAGCTGACTTTCTAATGCTTTTTAATTGCTCCTTTATGAACAGACTATTCCATAGCTGTGGTATGGCTGATGTTTTCTTTAACTGTGAGAGGCTGACCCATAGATTTTTGTGTTATGTGAACAAATGCCCTGAGTTGGTGTGGCGGTTTTTTGTTTTCCTGTCACATGTATTTGCAGTGGTGTTTGTTTTCTAACCACAATAAATGGAAACCTAGACTAAACTGTTTATTTTAGCATAGTGCATTCCTTTTCCTATCAACAAAAAGACAGTGTTACTGTGTGACAGGAAAAGAGCATTTTTTGGACTATTTTTGAAAGTTGAGGTCACCATGTCTGTGGTTTGCCTAGCTTTTACAGATGTGATGTTATGAACATGTAAAAATAGTAGCCAGATATCTGACACTTCTGGTTAGTATGATGGGAAAATAAAAATCAGAATATAGTGTGACACAATACTTCAGGTTTTTTACAAGCAGAGCTTTTCTTTTTTGGTATTGCCATAAGCATGCAACCCATCTTGTTTTTAACAGCTCTTCAGCTCCAATAACAGGAAAATGGTGAAAAGAATTGATTACTTTTAGAGATGTAGCATAGTACTAATAGTATTAGTTTTCATTAGTAATCTTCTTCTGTCAATCTAGGAAAACATTAAAGAAATTTAAAATCTTTCTTGTGTTTTTCTGTTTTACCTTCCTCTAATCTCTCCTGAGAATGCACCTATTTATCTCCTAACAGCACTCTTGTTTTGGCAAACATTATCTGATAATTTCTGTTTAGTATCATGTTTGCAGTTTTGCTGGATCAGAACTCTTCTGGGTTTTTTTCTCAAGTGAACCGAATAGGTCTTGTAATCAGATCTGAGGTATTTATTCCCTATTTTCCCCCATTCCAAAAACAAATGTTGGAATTCAGTTTTGGGGGTGAGAATTAAGTACTTTTCAGATGTGGCCAAAGGAGGGAGGAAGAAAATCCCAATATTCTTATTCTTTCTTGTTTTGTATCCATGTAGTCTCACAACTAAGTTTAGGTTTTTTAGAATTTGTGTTTAGCACATGTGAATTGTGATAGCACATCCATGTAACATTTTTTGTTTTATTCCCTCGTGTCTTTAAAGCTGGAGTGCCTAATGCAGTTAGTAAGAGCTGGAGCTTCTGTAAATGCCAGTACAACACGTTTTGCTCAAACACCAGCCCACATTGCTGCTTTTGGAGGACATCCACAGTGCCTGAATTGGTTGATTCAAGTGGGGGCCAACATAAACAAACAGGTATGGATTCATGTGTATTTCATGTCTGCATATAGTTTTGGAAGGAGTGTCTTGATGCCTTTTTTGCTACATGTAGGATCTTTACATTCACATACAGATACATTATTTCTAACATCAGCTGAAGTCAAGTGACTTAATTATCAGTTATAGACCTTTTCCATTATATTAAAGATAGGACTAATAAATGTCCTTTAAGCCACTAAAGGTTTGGAGGACATTTGTTTTAGGAATTGACATCTTGCTACTTGACCAAAATGATATGCTGCTCTGGTATTGGCAACATTAGCAAATACTATGATATTGTAATGCCTCTTTAGGGGACAAAAAAAAAAAAAGACTAGTGAGGAACATCTTATTTAATATGTTAAGAACTGAAAAATTCACCGTTATGTACAGAACCATGAGACCTCTGTGGTACTTTGATTTGGTCATACATGTAACTAGCAAGGTCTGCCATGGTTTATTTTAAGGTGCATCTGGTTTCATACTGTTTTCCTTTTTAGATTAGATTATTTCCAAAGCTTTTCTAGTAACTTTCTGCAGATAGGTCAGAAACATGTACTTTACTAACAAAGAATGAATGGGAGATTTTTCTTGTTTGTTTTTTTTTTTGTTTTGTTTTGTTTTTTTGTTTTTTGTTTTTTGTTTTTTTTTAAAATAATTTTCCATTACTTTTACTGTGAGTATGGATAATGTCTTATTTGGTAGCAGAGAGTGCATTAATATACCAAAGTTCCTGTAAAGGACTGCTGTACTCTGGTACAGTAACAGAAAAGAGTGCTTAAAAATATCGTGCTTCTGGAGAAAATGTTTGCAGTACTGAATGGATCTATTATGTATGCTGGCAATACATAACGTGTGCCTTTATGACAGTACTGAAAATTATTATTTATAGTATTCTGTAAGAGTAATTAATACTACAGCATATGCACTTACTAAAAGCTGTAGTAGAGCATCCATAAAATGTCTGGTCTGTAAAACTCACATCATGCTTTTCTTAAAATATTTAACGGCCAGACTGTGTTTCATATGCAGTAGAGTTAAGCTAAGTCTGCTGAAGAACTTGAACATTTGCATTTTTAGAGTTTGGTTCTTTTTTTTTTTTTTTAAGCTATGCAAAAATAAGAAATGGGGAAGTTTGTGTTGAGTTTTCAGAAAAGAAGGCTGGTGCATTGAGAACAGCTGTGAGACACCAGGAGAATTGTAGAAACAATGAAGGTGACTGGATGCAGAGGCTATAGATCGCATCTTCTCCTTGATACCTGACAAAAGTAACTTATGCAATAAGTTATTGCTGCATAGTGGTAGAATCTTCAGAAGAGAAAATACAAGAACTATAAATGCATCTGGAGACCAGGTAAGAATGTAAAGAAACGGTGATTAGAGAGGAAACATGGCATGCACAGAATAAAAGATGTACAAATATCTGCTAAATGAGAAGAGAAGAATGAATGAAAATGAATGAATGAGAAGAATGAAAGTTTCCAACTATGAGGATAAAGAGAAGAACTGACCAGTGAGGTTGAAATGGAGTTGAAGAACAAGCTTGCTGTCCTGGAACATGATGGGGGAAAAAAAAATAAATCATCTAGTGAGTAAGGTTATAGCAAAGAAGAAAATAGCAGCTAGCCCCCAAAAGAAGAGGAGAAGAGTGCAGAGATATCTCTCCATGGGCTGAGGGCAACATGCAGATGACTGTAAAGGAAAGCAGAAGGCAGTATGATATGCAGTTAAAAGTAGACAGCAAACTCATTCCATCTTAAAGAAGTCACCAAGACTAGCCAGTGACTCAGGAGTCTTTATAAATTGATGGCCTGTCACCAGAGCAAATCCAAGTAACAGATCTGTGGTCGTCCACAGAAGGAAAGATACTGTGGTTCTCAACTTTTCAGATAGTGGTGATAGTATCCTATAGACTTCTAAGTGCAGATTTAGATGTTGACAGGCAAAGGGCACTAATATAGGTGGTACTGAGGGTTGACACTGTGGAAGCCTTGTATGTTGTTAATGGTAGGCTCAAGTGACACTTGAATGTAATAACTTTTTTGCCCTCACAAAACATTAGTGGAACATACAAGAAGGGGTGTTCTAAATTTGGTTGAATGGTAAAATACGAAGATAGCTCTGGTTAATTAAAATGGGAATAGAAACAAGTCTCAAGTTCTTTGTTAGGATGCAACTGGTCAGTCACACTGGTTTCACATGCATGAGCACTGAAAGCTAGACAGTGTACCTTGATGATATCTATAGCAGCAAACTCATCCCACAGATATTTGGAATGTTTCATACATGGCTATGTAAAGCATAGTGCATGCTTTGCTCTCCCCCGTTCCTTCCAGCTGTTTATTGAATTGCAGTCAAATTCTACTATTCTTGTTTGATTTGAACTGCTTAATAAATTATCTTGGTTCCTTATTTAACTTCCAAGCACTTTCAGGTGATCATCTAGGGCTTCCACCCACACTTTTGAGCTTTCGGAGCACTATTTCCTGATGTTTATTTTGTTTATTCCTTCCAGCTCGCTGACTGATGCTGTACTACAGACAGACATAGTCACTGGCTAATGCTTGTGTGAGGACAAGTGTTCCATGGACACTGGATACAAAACACATGCTGAGAAAGATCTGGGAATACTTGATATTTAAACTAGTAAAAGTTTTCTTCCAAACTGACTCCTGGTCATTGGCTACAGACTAACCCAGCATCCCTGGAAAAAGAAAAGGATAGCTTCTGAAAAGGAATCCACTCAAGTCTCTCAGTCTTAACGTAAACCTCCGGTACTCAGTAGAATTTGCATGCATGCTTTCTCCTACCTGCCCTGAGGTATTGTATTGTAGCCTGTGCTGCCTGCCCTGAAGTTTAGGAAAACTTGAAAATGCCTATCTTGGTGCTGGCGACAGTTGCCCAGGGTGTTTCTCAGGCAGCAGCAGTGAAGGACAAATGCTGAAAACTGCTTGTCCCAACTGTACCTTGCTACCCAGATAAGTCCTAGGAGTATATCCTGTGATGCCCAGCCCTATAACGGTATGTGCTGGCTAGAACCATTTCTCTTTCTTCATGATCAGTGGGCAGTTCTTCCCCTGACCAGGGTCACCATAAAAATTCATAGGAGAAAGCTGAAGTGCCAAGCTTTCCATCCTCTGCCTGTTTCTACCCAGCAGTGAACTCAAGAGAAAGTCCTACTATTTTTATTTTTTTTTTCCACTGGGCAGTGCCTTCTAATAGTTCTTAATAATGTGACTCAAGACCTGAGTTTGGCTACCTGCCTGCTTTAGTTCACTGTAATGGTGCAAAGCAATTATACTGCTACTTTCCCTGCGCTTTTTTTTTCTCCTGATGTTTTATCCTTGTCACAAGATACGCCCACAGATTGGTTCTGTGCTGTTGTACATATTAGCATCAGATAATAATGAGTACTTTTTGATTAGAAAGCCTGTTACTTCTTTTAAATATATTTTTCCTCTAGCCTATTAAACATTTTTATTGCATGTTGCCTGTGTTGATTGGCCAAAAAAAAAAAAGTTTTTTGTGGCCTGTCTTAAGATGAGAAATACTGCATCCTTACAGGTGATGCTAACTTACTTTTCATCCAGCCAGTTAACATCATGTGGCAGTGATGGCAGATAGGTTTAGGAGGGCTAGACTACCCATGCTAGCAAGAACTGTAAGCACACTGATATCCTTGGTGGGGAGGAAGAAAACACTCATTCCTTTGGTATGTTAATTTTGTATTTTAAACAACAATTTGGATGAAATCCAGGTAAAAATACTCTATTGGTTCTCATCTGTACTCAAAGTTCAGAAGGAGAAATCATGATGAAATCAAAGCATTTTTAGCAAAGAATGAGGGGAAAAAATACTTGGTATTCTCCAGCTTCTACTTCTCTGCTTCAGAAAGGGTAGGGTGCTGGGTCTAAGAAATCTGAACAGCTTTTACAAATGTGATCAGCTGATAGAACTTGTGATTCAGTCAGTTGAGTTAAAGAATGGAGTTAGTTTGTATATCTTGTCAGGTAAATAGTGATTCTGTGTCTTGGATATCTATACTAGAGGCATTTTACAAGTGCTTGCATGATGTTGTGGTTTAACCCTGGTAGGTACCTAAGCACCACACAAGCCCTTTGTTCATTCCCCCACAAGAAAACTCGTGGGTTTAGGTAAAGACAGTTTAATGGGTAAAAAAGGAAACAAAAACAAAATAAAGAAAATGAAGTGATGATAAAAAGATGTTTAAAAACTGCACCACAAGCAAAAAATCCCCCAGTTTCTCACTATGGGCTGACGGATGCCTGGCCAGTCCCCAAGCAACAGCAGCCCTGGCAAATTCCACTCCTGCCTGCCCCTGAGCTTTTGCTGAGCACGATGTCCTATGGTATGGGATGTTCCTCTGGTCAGGTTGGGTCAGCGGTCCCAACTGTGTCACCCCCAGCCCACTCCTAGCTAAAACATCGGTGTATTATCAACATTGTTTTGGTTGCAAATCCAAAATACCAGCTACTATGAAGAAAATTAACTCGCAGCCAAAACCAGTACACATAGTTGAAAGCTTTGAGTGTAAATGTGCATGGGGGCTTTTTGTTTTTAAAATAGTTACAGGTAAGTAACTTTTTTCCCATGAAATGAGAGTGAAATTAACTGACTTATATCCAGAGACTTGGAGAACAAAATGGGAAATTTGCTCTAAGTTCAATGAGAAGATCCTAAAGCAAACAGAAATTTGGATGCCAGAAAGAGAGGAAACACAATAAAATGGCTCTAGATGGAACTGAAAAAATAACCACATCTAAAAGAGGCCTGGGAATAAGCAGAGAGTTTGAGAGAAATATTTAATCAGTAGAGGAAACGTCTTTTGAGGTTAAGCAGCATAGGGAGGAAGTGCAAGCTGATGAATCAAGCTGAGATAGATTTACTGATTTAAACTGAAAAAGCAAGACTCTTCAGCCACATAAAGAAAAAGATAATAAGGAAGGAAGCGAGATACTTACTCGGTAAAATGAAACAGAAGTCAAAGGTAACCTAGTCATGACCTCAAGATAGAGAAAACTCCTCTTGTCTTTGCAGAAGGATAGTTGTGTTTCTCCAAGGGAAAGGAGGAAGATGTTTGACAGTGGAAGTGAGTTGCAAACAATAAATGTGGCTCAACTCTTTTTGTCATCTCTTCAGGAGCACTGTGCACAAAATACTTAGTCTCCACAGAAGGAAATAAGCTTCTGTTATCTTGAATGCTAAATTAATAAAACTTATTTGTTCTTTCTGCTCATTTATTTATATTGTGACTTTTGGTTTGTGAGGCAAGTTTGGGCTGTTGGTGCAGTGTTACATCAGAAGGGTAAATGGGACCCTGAAAAGTTCTACTCTAGATATGAAGGGTAGTGCAAGTTATTGATGTTTCCTTTCCTGGAATATTATTTCAGAAGGGTTTATATCAAACTGAAGCACATATGGGAACTGTGGGCAATTAGAAGGATTATGAGGGATTATCAAGGATAATTAGGAATTATTAGAGCCCCTAAAAAGATAATTTATTTTGCTCTACATGGCCAAAAAAGAGGTAGGGAAGAGGTGTCTTATGCATGAAAATGTGCTAGCAAGCTAGACCCTGAACTGCTCTCAGAAGCTTCTTGGAAAAAAACTGTTACATTGCTTTTGCTGTTTGGTGCCATCCATTCCAATTGTTGAATTGAAGCCATTCACTGTATGCACGATTTTGGATGTGTTGAAAAGTAAGCTTTAAAGCCGTTTTTCAGTGGGAGAGGGGTGTGGTGTTTTTTTTTTTTTTTTTCCTTTAGTCTGGCTCAGAACCCAGAGAGAATTTATTCTTTATAGAGCTAGGAGACTATTTCAGTGCAAATAGATTTGGTCCCATATGAGAACTTCAAAAGAAGATGACATTAGTGATGACTGAAATTTAGGTGCCGTAATTAAAATAAATGCCATAAAAATCTAAATCTGTATATTCTGTCATTTGCTAAGTATTTTCTCAATTCCTTAGCTTTAGAGAAGAGGCACACGCTTTCTGGGCCAGTGACTGAAAGAAGCCCTTCTCAAGACATATATTCTCTCCTGAGATACTAACCTTTTTCTGCTTGTTGGCGCCGGGATTGTTAACTGCTATAAATTGAGCTTATTCTTGTAATGCAGTGGTGAGGACTGCTTCTGCGAAGGTCCTTCCTCATCCTTCTAGTGTTTCTCTTCAGCAATACTTCATAATGCAGTTCTCTAGCTCTTACTCTGGGTAACATCCGAGGTTTATGGGGCTAGTATAGATTTTTCTCATCTTTGTCACATGCATGGCTAGTTGAGCTAACTTCCCCTGAACTGAACTTTATATTGAATGATTATCCTTTAAATTAGGGTTGGGATTGTAAATACTAATGCTGAACAAAAGAAGCAAATCACTTATTTTATATACTTTTATCTCTTTAACAAAAGGGGGGAGGGGGGAAGGAGGAGGAAACCATAACAAAATGGTGAATCGAAGACAGCTTCCATGATGGGAAAATGTATTACACTATGAAGAAAATCTTCCTGGATAAATTACTGCCAAATTAATTTCCACGTATGACAGTGAATAAAATTGTGTCCTCTGTTAAACACTTGTGTCTTCCTGTAACTTCAATAAATGTTATAAATGGGAGAGATTATATAAATTTAACTGGAAAGCAGTCTTCTATTCATCCGCTACAGGCAACCATTTTGAAAGAAGAACGGTAGGGCTCTTTTCTAATCACTAAGGACTCCAATGTCAGCCTCAGCAATTTTTCTTAATTTATAAGAAGGTAAATTCTCTGGTACTATTTATTGTTCCCTGCTGGGGGTGCTAGGTGGTTCTGTTTGGCTGAATATATGTCTTCAGCACTGGTGAGCTGGCTTACAGTTAGTGAATTTGTAACTTGTAAAAGTATTTTACCATGAAATAAAATTGGCAAGTAAAAATTGAGAGCATATAACACATAATGCAGAAATTAATTTTCAAATTATATTTGCATGGTGTAAAAGATTTAATTTCTCAGAAGCTTAGCAGGCAATTTAAAACACTTACCTTCTGTCTATCAAGATGGTAGTCTGATCACATTTTGAATATGTTTCAAATAGAGCTAATGTGTCACCAGTACTGTAGAGTTAGGTGTGAACACCATTGTGTATGAAGACTGGTGAGTCAGTAGAGGTGCTGTGTTACTTTAATAGCAATACTTTAATATCTAGTGTTGATGTTTTAACAGAAGGAATGGGGAAGCACAAATAGAACATGTTTAATATTAGTGGAGCAGTGAAGTCTCAAAAATTTGGAGACAAAGGGAGAGAGTAGGGGAAAAAAGGAAAAGAAAATTGCTGTCCGTTTAAAGTATTGAGGACTGTGATAATTAAATCATGTACCAGACCAGTATCTGAACATTTACTTGCTACTTCAAGTCTGTGTTTCACTACAGATTCTTTTCTGTGATTATTAATACTGATGGTTAATTGCAAGTACCAAATTTCATCTGCACCCTGTAGATTATGATGCATGAAGTTTACCTGCTGCTTGCCAGTTGCATTTGTAAAATTGCTGTAGATTCTCCCTCTTATTTGTGAAGATAGTTTGTAGAGAGTAGTTGCCTGAAAAGCAGTATGCTGCTCTCAGTATATTTGCACATAACACAAAAAGATGAAATGATTGGATGTGCTAGTTAACAATAATGGAACATAAATGGATAAAGATCATCAGAAAATACAAGTGTATAGGACACAAGTCAGTGTGTATGTCGGGAGAGATCTGGCCTGCCCTGTAAACTCTGGGCATACTTCTGTTACACTTGAGTTACGCATGCATACTCCTCACCTGGTGAGTATTTATGGTGCAGTACAGTACTGTGTAAGTGTCAGCAAGATCTGAAAGCAATATAGTCCCACAAAGTTGGCCATGCTGCTTCTGAATCCAAGATGGTTTGCTCAGCCTTAACATATTCGAAAACAAAATTGCTAAGAAATAAAGGTGTTAGAGGTAACTTGTTATGGTGGTATATATTGCAGGGTTTTTTTAACAAGTAATGCTGAATATGACTCCTGTAATTGCCAAGTTATTGGATAAGGCTTATCTTGTGAGTTAGATGCATTATTTCTTGCTAAATATCTAAAGTACATGACAGCCTACTGCAAACTTTAAAATAATAATAAAAGTACCTGATGCATTTGCTGGCTAATAGATGCTGCTTTTATATATCTGCTTATTTAATTAAAGTGAGTAATGTAAAAATAAGATTTTTGGTTTTAGAAAGATTATGCTTGACAAAATGTAGTTTGTCTTTACAGGATTATGTTGGTGAAACTCCTATTCATAAAGCAGCACGGTCTGGTAGTATGGATTCCATAAGTGCCCTTGTGGCTCATGGTGCGCAAATAGAGTAAGTGAGGTATTTTTTTTTGTTGTTAATTGTTGTGTGTTTACCTAACTAACTTAGACCAGTAAACATAGATTCTAATGTCAGAAAGAAAATTCAAAACGGCAGACACCTGATTAAAAGACAGCTAGACATGTTCAGCTGTAATGAAGCCCAAGATGTTTTGCATGTCTGGTAATAAAGTTTATTTTACTTAAGTGATACCAGTGTGCTACATTAGTATTGTATTTATATCCAACATATTAAAATAATTATCACTCTTCTGCCAGATGATACCACATTGTACTCTTTATCTAGCGTGTAATTATTTTTTACAACAAATTTACACCTTGCACTGGTGAATAAATATAGAAAACAATACAAAAGCAACATTTTGTGCAAAATAGCATCTCACACTCTCCGCAGTTAGTTTAATACTGTTTGTTAGTGTATTGTGTATTTGCCCTCTTAACTTTTTTCTTTAAAGGTTTATGTACTGCAAAAACATTCAGAAAATCTCACAAACTTTTGCAACTTACAGCATGGACAAAATGGATGCAGTTTTCACCTAGAAATGTTGAGTATAAGCTCTATGGCTTATAATAATGTAAATACTTTAGCAATTTGTTGTAATTAGAACTAGCCTTATTATCTTAAATGGTAACTAGTTAACTGTATTTTAACCTGCAATGTGAAACTTTTAAGTTGTAAGTGAAATAAGAATCATGTAGTTAATTTCTTGTTTTACCCTTTGGTTTCCATCTTACTGTTTTTGTAATGCTACCCTGATAAATCTACCATAAAATTTAACTATTTCAATGGTATAGAGTTTTCAGAAAATAAAATACTTAAGTTAATAGTAATGAACAAATGGCTTTATATGAAGAGATTGCTTCATAGAAAAATGACACTGAAATAACTTACGCAGCTGTCTCAGTTATTGACAAGTTCATGAATTCAGTCTTAAATTGATAAATTCCCATTTTACACTCACTTTCAGATATCTTTAGATAAACTTGGATTTAAATTTACTGTGGAATTGAGAAAACCTTAATTATCATCATCAATTAGTATGTAATCTTGTATTTTTTACAAAGTATCCAGTCAAAAGAGAAATTGTGGAACTGCATAAACAATGTGAAATGAGTGAGTTGAGTCTGATGTAAAGAGGATGTGTTGCATCCATAAGACTTTCAAAACAAGTAGCTGAGTAACTGAGGTTGGAGATATGGCTGTAACTTTTAACTTGCCAAAGTAAAATTTTGCTTTTTAAACGTTTTCTTTGCAAGCCATAGGCAAAACATTTCTGTAAAACTTGGAGAGTGATATCTGCTTTTGACCAAAACTATTTGCAGCAGAAGTAGCGTAGGTTTATAGCAGTTTTAGTGAACAGGAAATAATTTGAATTCTCAGTTTTCTAACTTTGAATTCCATCTGTGTTTCAGTAGGATAGACTTGTCACAAGTTCTGTAGGTAATTAAATACCAGATCCTATCCAGGAAATGGTAAAATCAAGGATTCAAGTGCAGTAGGCTGGTGGAGCAACCCATGCTTAGTCATTTAGGGGATCAAGACTTGGCCCTCTCACCTGAAGGAGCTAGCTATTGACTGATTAGGGTGAGGATTTTTTTTCCATTGAATATAGTTTCTGGGGTCGGTATGTTAAATTAGGCCAAATCCATGTATATGCTTTTGACATTGATTAGTTTGGGGTTATCTGGGTTTGAAAACTGGCCCCATATCTCTAACAGTTATGTTGATTTCCTCATTCTTGTAACAACTTGAAGATGTAGATGCTTTGAAAGTTTTGACTCCTTTATTTTATGGCTTCAGTTAGAAGAAAAGGAGAGGGATTTTATCCATATAATTGTGCATATTAGCTGAAATTATAATTGACTATATAGGACCACGGCAAGAATTTTATTAAATACAGAACTAAGCACTAACTGGAACTAAAGTGCTGATCTGTAGTGATGGTGAATATGGTCTTTATTTATGTGGATTAGATCTTCTAATCCAATTTTTTCTTTATTTTTTCATACAGTTATGGTATCAAAATCTAGTTACATGAAGATGCGAAGAATATCCCTTGTGATTGCAAATAGTCAAATACACTGCTTATACCTGATACTTACAATATACATCAAGTATTGCAACATCCCTAGTTTTTTATAAAAAGTAAAACAGGGATGTTAAGATTTCATTATTGCACAAACTCTAGTAATCAGTAGTGTAATATTGCAAGAAACTTAATTTTTCTTAGTGACTATTGAAATGCTGCTGTTAAAATGAAGCAACTTGGACTAGTGTAATCTTTGGTATCAGTGTTTACCATATTTCTACTTTATTCACTCCTCTGGTTATATTGGAAGACAAAGAATATTGACAGTGGTCCAGTAAGGATAAAAGCAAGAATTTTAGTTTGAATAAAATTGCCTCACTTAAATTGTTCAAGTTTACTTTCATTTCAGGCTTGCTAGCATATTGTTTTTACAGAGAAATACAGTATGTTGCAGTCTCTAAATTTCATGAAGTTGTTGCATTGTTTTCCTAATTGATGAGAGAGAATTTGGGTCTCTATTCCTGTGTAAATTTTTAATAATATAAAAAAATAATAATTGTACCCTAGTGAAAATATTTTGATTTTTTTTGTGGTATTTACCTTCTCATTTTAGCTGAAGCATATTCTGTGCACAGTATGTCCTACAGCCATAAAAATGGTTGCTCCACTAACTATGGTATTCATGGACCCTTGAAGAGGGGGAAGCAGGTGGTCACAATGTCCTCATATGAGTGAAAAGGTTTGCTGTGTAACTGACTTTTTAATGTGGATAGTACCTTTTAAATTATCCATAATAACTGCTGGATTTTCACTAAAAAGCATAATTATGCAATTTATGTATGGTTAATGGTGTATTATTTATCATGGTGACAAACAAGTGTCCACAGCTCTTTATGAAGGAAAAGCCTTCTTGGTGCCATGTTTTGTTTTGCTCTTTTACGCTATTTTTTTAAATGCTGGGTATTAATGTAGTTAACATAGATTGCATCACAGCGTATATGTAAATATAAAATTCAGCTATAAACACAGGATGCTGTTGAATCAAAAAAACAATAAGCAGATGCAGCTGTTAATTATACTGATTTGAACGTCTTTGGTTTGATGTCCCATTTCATGCAGTTCACTTGTGCCTTGTGTCCGCTTATTTCTGAATAACTATTCTTCTGCAACTGTCACTTGAACAGTTGTGTATTCCTTGGTGACTTGACTTAGGAGAGAAGTTTCAAACACTGTACTATCCTAGGATGAAGAGAGGTGTAACTTGTGGGATGGGATGTGGCTTGGTATGCACCCATCCGATAGAACACAGGCTTGCTTCTGACTTCTGTTGATGAAGATGCTTGCATAGTAACATAGGAAAGGTTTTTATTTGTGTGCCAGGTATCTTAAGGTTTTTTGGGAAAATGGTTTGTATACCATGATGGGATGCTGCAAGACCCCGAAGAAATAACTTTCCTTTCTAGTTTCTTGCACTCTGGTCTCCAGGTTTCAGGAGAATAACTGACATGCTGGGATGAATACACCAGTGCATCTGCTTCTACCAGATGACAGATTCGTATCGTGATGTTGATCTAGTTCAGGCAGACACTTAGCCACTTTCTCATTAAAGCTGTCTTGCATTCATTTGAATGTGTAAATTCACTCCTCCTATAATGCCAGAGATGTCCTATGTCTGGTATTTAGTTTTTTCAGCAAAACTTCATTCTCATTCTTTGACAGTGTCTTAATTTTAATTATTTGCAAGTTCATATGTCACAAACTGCATTGTGTTGTTTAAAAAAAAGCATCATCAATTTATTTTTTCTTCACAACTGCTCTCCATAAGAGAAATCTGTCCAATGTGACTTTTTTAGCCGCTGGATTAGCCCTTTGTGAAATTCTTTTAATACATTTCTGTTTGAAGTGAAGTCTGTTTCATATTTTAATTATGACCACTCCTGTGATAGCTCAGCTTTTGTCCTTCTCATTTGTACTTCTGAGACTTCTCAACTTTCTGAAGTTGTCACTTTTAGTGAAGAGACAGAAGAAGAGGGATGTGTAGATTTCATGATGACAACACAGAAATTGACCATTCTTTGATGTAAACCCTCAGTTCCTTTTCAGTGGAGGGGAAACTGACATTGCTTGTTCTCTTGAAGGGTCTCAGGGTTCAGAGATCTCTATTAATTTCTGGATTTCTTCCTGTTTTCTGAAAATCTTAACAGATACTTGCAGGTTTTTAACATTTGCTTGTTTTTCTTACCTAGCTAACATAACTACCGAACTTTTTATATTGAACTGCAGTCCGTTTCTGGTGTTAACGTACTTGTGAAGTGCCATTACTATATCATCTTTTTACTTCAGAAGCTGTACTGCTACATTGATTCAGTGTAGAAGATTCAACATCCTACTTTCTTACAGTCATTAACATCATTTTGAGAATAATGCTTCATGTTCTTACTGGCGATTTGTCTAGGATTAGGATTTAGATTCATTTTCAGTGGAATGGTTCTTATCTATTAATTAGTATATTTATATAATCTGCATGGTATTTTTCAAACTCAGACCACTTCATACACAATTCTTTTTGTAAACGTGGTTGCCTGCTCTCCAGATAGAAGTTAAACTGCTGGATTAACTATTGTCATCGCATTATTAGACAGTGCAGTATAGTTGGGGAAAAAAAACGTGGCTGTTCTTGTTTAGTTGTATAGAACATATAGAACAAGCGTTTTAAGATTTGTCGCTGTAATGTTGTGTTGACGGTGCTGCAGTATGGAGGCTATGGGTGTTGGAATTTGTTCTTCCTTTCCCACTCTGCATAAATTATTATGGAAAGGCAGAGTGGTTTGTACATTTCAGTGGTGAAACTGTTCTCCTGCAAAATAATTACAAGTAAAGCCTGCTAATTTCTTCCATGTTTAGTTTCACGCTTGATTGCCATCATTGTAAAAGAACCTAACATGGTCTGTAGGAGGTTGTG